GGAAAAGGAATAAGGAGAGGAAGAGGAAGGGGGCCCGTCCGTCTCTCTTGCCTTCCTCTCGGACAAGGCTGGGATTCCGTCCTTAGAGACGGCCGGGATTTGTAGTTTGAGCCGTCGGGGTTTGCTGGCCGGAGCAGTCACACTCTCTCAGCCTCCAAGGGAGCCCTCCCCCCCCGGGCTCCGAAGGAGGGGACCAGTGCGGCTAGAGCAGGGATGATGGGGATGATGGGTCTTCATGTCCCCTGGACTGGGGTTTTTTTTGGGGGGGGGGACCATTTTTTGCAAGGGATGAATGAGAGCGAAGCTGCGGTGCGCTGCTTCCACACTGGAGAAATAACCTGGTTTGATACCGCTTTAACCAGTTGGCTCAAGGCTATGGAATTCTGGGAATTGGGGTTTGTCATGGGATCCAGAGCGGAGCCTTGTCCTCTTTCTCTCTCTGTTTTTCCTTCTTGCGACTTCTTGGGATTCCTTGCAGAAATAAATCGCCACCTCCATTGATTTCACTTATAAATTGCATTTATTTATTTATTTATATACGAAATTCATTTATTTCTTGCAGAAATAAATACTAAACGGTCTCGCCACCCCCACCCACCCCCATTTATTTCATTTATAAATTGAATTTATTTATTTACAAAATTCATTTATTTCATGTTAAACAGGCTCGCCACTCCCATCTATTTCATTTTTAAAAATTGCATTTATTTATTTATTTATTTATTTACAAAACTCATTTATTTCTTGCAGAAATGAATGTTAAACAGACTCGCCACCCCCATTTCTTTTATTTATAAATTGCATTTGTTTGTTTGTTTGTTTGTTTGTTTATAAAATTCATTTATTTCATTTATAAACCCTAATTATGGCTTTCTTTGGTTATGGGGCTTCCGCTGCCAGAAAGGAAAAGACTTTGCAAGGATCTGATCGGGTTTTTGGTTCTGGAATGGGGGAAAGGTATCTTCCACATCTGCATTGCAGAAATAATCCAGTTTGACACCACTTTAACTGCCGTGGCTCAAAGCTATGGAATCCTGGGATTTGTAGTTTTGGGAGACATTTGGCCTTCTCTGTCTGAGAGCTCTGCCATCAATACAAACTACAGATCCCAGGATTCCTTAGCACTGAGCCATGGCAGCTAAAGCAGTGTCAAACTGCATTCATTCTGCAATGTGGATGCATCCTCAGGCAGCAAAATGCCTTGGGCTGCATTGGCGCTAGAGGAAAGGAATCATAGAATAGAATCCTAGAGTTGGAAGAGACCCCAAGGGCCATCCAGCCCAACCCCATTCTGCCATGCAGGAACTCACAATCAAAGCATTAGGTGTTCTAGATTGCTCCTCCGGAGTTCTAGATTTTGAGGATTTATTTTATTTTATTTTATTTTATTTGAGATTTTGAGAGAAAGGTGCCTTTGGACAGTGGCTGAACCCACAAACAAGGCCTCGGGTGCATGGGACCATCATTATGGATGGCCAAGAGCTATGGATGACCAGTATGGACAGAGCATGACCATCTAGGGAAGAAGACCAACCTTTGAGAACACCGGGAATAAGACTCTGTCCAGCGCTGGGCTCCACAATTCAAGAAGGACATTGAAACGCTGGGGCATGTCCAGAGAAGGGTGGCCAAAATGGGGAAGGTCTGCAAACCACCAAGCCCTAGGTCAGGAGGACCTTCAGCTGGGCCAAAACTAACAACATGACTTTCAGCACAGAGAAAGGTCAAGGAATACACTTAGGGCAGAAAAATGAAAAGCACAGATATAAGATGGGGGACACCTGGCTTAAGGAGACTTTGACGTGTGAAAAGGGATCTAGGAGTCCTAGTAGACCTCAAGTTGAACATGAGTCAATGGTGTGGTGCAGCAGCTAAAAAGGCCAATGTGATTCTAGGCTATATCAATAGAAATATAGTGTCTAGATCAAGAGAAGTCATAGTGCCCCTGTATTCTGCTTTGGTCAGTCCTCACTTGGAATAATCCTGTGTCCAGTCCTGGGCACCACAATTCAAAAAGGATGTGGAGAAACTGGAGCGTGTCCAAAGGAGGGCAACTAAAATGGTGAAGGGTCTGGAAACTATGAATCCCTATGAGGAACGACTTAGGGAGCTGGGGATGTTTAGCTTGGAGAAGAGAAGGTTAAGAGGGGATATGATAGCCTTGTTTAAGTATTTAAAGGGATGTCATATTGAGGAGGGAACAAGTTTGTTTTCTGCTGCTCCAGAGAACAGGACACAATGGAGCAATGGATGCAAGCTCCAGGAAAAGAGATTCCACTGAAACATTAGGAGGAACTTCCTGAGAGTAAGAGATGTTTGACAGTGGAACATGCTCCCTTGAAGGATTTTGGAGTCCCCTTCTTTGGAGGTCTTTAAACAGAGGCTGGATGGCCAT